ACACGGGGAACACACGGGGAAGAAGAACACGGGAAGAAGAACACGGGGAAGAAGGAGAACTGGGAGAAGAACAAGGGGAGTAAGAAGAAGACATGGAGGAGGGGGAGAGTAAGGTGAGGAGAAGGGGAGATGAGGAGAACGGGGGGGACTGAGAAGAACACAGGGAGGGTGGGTGGTGAGGAGAGGGGGTAAGAAGAACACAGGGGGGTGAGGAGAAGGGGAGATGAGAACACAGGGAAGGGGGAGGTGAGAAGAACACAGGTAGGGGGGAGGTGAGAAGAACACGGGGGGGGTGAGTGAGAAGAATACAGGGGGATGAGGAGAACACATTGGGGGGAGTGAGAAGAACACAAGGAGGGTGGAGAGGGGGATGAGAAGAGCACAGGGAGGGTGGGTGAGTTTGAGAAGAGACCGCTAGGGGAGGGTGGTGGAGAGCTCTAACGGACAGAACGGACAGCTCTATAGGACAGGGGACAAGACAGGGAGCTCTTTCTCACTACACGCACACGCACACACAATGCATTCCTACACACACAGAAACACAACATGCTTCCCTTACACACAGAGAAACGGACAATGCATCCATTACACACACACAATGCAACCCTTACACACACAAAGACAATGCATCCTTTGCACACATACACAGAAACACACAATGCAAACCCTTACACACACATGCAAACACACACACTGCTTTTCTTACATACACACAGAAACACAATGCATCTCTTACACACACTCAATGCACACACATACAGACACACACCTTGCATCCCTTATGCATACACAGATTCACACAATGCATCCCTTACACACAACCAGAAACACACAATACATACACAAATACACACTGCTTCCACTACACACAAACACACTGCATCACCTACACCAACTGGTATGTCTATACACTACATACCATAAGCACACATTATATCCTCTACAATAACACATAACACATCCCCTACACACTCCACTCCCTGTGAGCGAACTCATGGGTGGATGGAACATATAAGTGGACTTATGAGTGGGCCTTATGGGCATACCACCAGGCCCTGGGGCTCAGACCTTGAGCTGTGTAAGGGGCCCCCCAAAAAATGGAGCTGCTTCCAATTCTCCCAGAACACTGAATTTTGTGACCACAGTTGCAAACAGCCTCCAGAGATCCTGTTCTACACCAGACCAGTGGAGCCAAACTGCAGTCCATCATCATCCTCATCTGGTTGTAAGTAGGCAATCTAGTATGATACTACTGATTGCACTGCACTCTCCTCCTGCCCAGACCCGCAAGTGCAAGTGCCCTCTGCCCCTAATTTACAGTGGCTCACACTCACAGCAAGCAGTGCCTGGAGCCCTTTGCAGAGACAGGAACAAAGAGGTTCTGCGGCAGCTGGCCGTCCTGCAAGCATTACATTAACCAGCGGTTCCCCATGCAGCCACAGGTGGCGCTGTGCTGGGAGAATGTGATTACTCTTCACTTCCTCCCAGCCTACAGAGCAGTGCATGGGGGAGAGAGAGGAAGAGGCATGATTTAATCTACTAAGCAAATCTTTATAAATTTGGCGGGGATCAGCTCTGTTTCCACAGTTTACTGGTGTTTACTCTGATGTCTATATTAATATTGAGGGATGTCTAAGTAGTAACATCAGTGTGTGTCAGCAGGGCCAGCCGTTGGGGTGTGCAAGCTGTGCGGTCACGCAGGGTGCCATGACAACAGAGGCGCCCAACACAGCTAACAATTTGAGGATACCAGCATATTCAATTTAAACGATTCGCTGGTGGTCCACCGGTTGCGCACCAGCAGCAGGTGCAGTCAGATTATATCCACTCCCTCGTGGTTCCGGTGCTCAGTTAGTGAGTCAGAGCACAGGCTCAGAGATTCTCAGCCTGCGCTCTGACAACATTGAAAGTTAGAGCCGTGAAGGAGTGGGTATTAGCATAACATCAATATCCGTTCTAAAACCAGGAAAAGGTGGGCATGGATGGTGAACTGATTTGGTGATGCAATGGGCCACTAGTCTGGTTTTGCCCCCCAGGCCTAAGGCTGCCAGCCCTCCCCTGCAAGGGGCACTCCCCCCTGGACCTGAGAGTAAACCACAGTAAACAATTACACAACCATATTGGCTCTCAGATCCAGGACACTCCCATACATAATCAGATAATCCCTCCTCTGGACCTGGGAGATAATTGAGTCATGGACTATACTAACTCAATTATCTCAAGGCAGAAAAACAACATCTTTATAAAACCCCAAAAATATCTTAACACACAAAATCCCCACAAAAGTTACATCCCCTGATAGCCCTGATCTGGGTGACCAACATACCCAAAAATCACCTCAGTTCAGGAATAAAGTCTTATTTTTGACCAGCCGCACGCATGGTCCCATGCCCAAAATAGTTCCAGAGAATTAGGGCTTGCGGTCGGTCTAGTTCGGTAGTTTGGAAATCGAACAAACTACCGAACATAGTCAATGTTCTTACCCTGGAGCTTGTTCCCTTCATCCTGATGAATTATTCCACCAAACAGTGCCCATCTAACTTGTATAGAACCGAATGCAGGCGATGATCCAGCGGTGTTCAGGAGTTTCTGTGTCCGATTTTAGTTCCATGAGATTCATGCCCAAATACCGCTGCCTGTGTTCATGCGAACAAGATTGCCGCCACCTCGTGGTTGTCCATAGGAATTGCAACCCAGACGAACAATTAGAACACTGCGGTGAGAACCGTTCCAAAGTGTTAATAGCTGTTAACAAGCTCCCGGGTGGTCCCTGGTTTGTGCGATTGTTCGGTAGTTGAACGGGACAATGTTAAAATAGGAGGGGAATGCAATATACCGAACAGAATAGCAAAAACGACCAAACACGATTTTTCCCCTGGTTTTAAATCCAACGCACGTTTAAATTCACAGATACATTCATATGGATTTACATGCACCATATGAATGTAGTCCATTAACCCCTTAAGGACCAAACTTCTGGAATAAAAGGGAATCATGACATGTCACACATGTCATGTGTCCTTAAGGGGTTAAAACTCTTTCCAGTTTGTCTGGGAGTCTGTTGACGAGATACTATCACTAAGTGGTTACATACGGTTGTTCATAATTGCGATTGATCAATAAGTTAAACACTATTTCAGTGTACAGGTCTTCGTAAACATATTTATATATATATATTCCCTCAACTCGGTACTCACTTTGCTCTCCTATCATACCATGTATTTTAGGTGCCTATATCAATTTGTTAGCAATTTTGCTAGTGAAACCTAGGACAGTGGTGTTCTTACAGCAATCTTGTTTCAGGTATTTTGATTTCCTTACGTTCATATGTTTTGTTAAACCAGTACATTAAGGCCTCACACTACCTTTTACATTTACACATTGTGCTCACGTAAGGGGCTTGTCTCATTGCATCGGACCTACATCAGGTCCTCAATACGTTACGTTCGTACAAAGATCTTCTGTTGTACTATCTGTATCCAGCTTTGACAATTACTTCATTAGACAAACTAAGATACAGAGAGTTACTCTCACACCTATCAGGTAATTCATAATTTCTCTTAATCTCTTCATTCAGTGCCGGTGCTTCCTATAAGGCGAACTAGGCAGCCTGGAGGGGAGTAAGGAGAACACAGGGAGAGGGGAGGAGTAAGGAGAACATGGGGGGGGGGGAGAAAAACACAGGGAGGGGGGGCAGCACACTCTGTTCTCCTTTCCAGCTGCTCTCTGTAACTTTCCGGTGCCCTGCGGCCGCCAGAGCGTTGCCATGGTTCGCACAGCACGCAGGCCGGTCTTGCGAGAGTTAGTCAGAGAGGAGCTGGAAAGGAAGACAGTGTGTGCTGCTGGGACCCCCTCTGCCATGTACATCGGCTGGCTCCCTCCACCATGCGATCTCTCCCCTCCCTGGCAAGGTAAGAAGCAGGGAGGGGGGAATAAAATTTAAATACACACAAATAAATTTAAAAAAAATACTCCCCTCCTCTCTATTTTATACACACACACACACTGCATCCTTACAAGCACACACTCTGCACTACACACAAACACTACATTCACTAAACACACTATGCACTACACACTTCATTCACTAAACACACTCTGCACTACACACACACAAAAACTACATTCACTAAACACACTCACACTCCATTCACTAAACACACTCTGTACTACACACACACTGCATTCACTAAACACAATCTGCACTACACACACTGCACTACACACACACTACATTCAGTAAACACACTCTGCACTACACACACACACACACAACATTCACTAAACACACTCTGCACTCACTACAAACACTACATTTACTAAACACACTTTGCACTACACACACACAAACTACATTCACCAAACACACATTGCACTCACTACAAAACACACTGCATTCACTACAATCACACTACATTCACTATACACATTTTGCATTCACCACAATCACACTACATTCACTATACACACTTTGCAATCACTACAATCACTATACACACTTTGCACTCGCTGCAAATACACTACATTCACTATACACATTTTGCATTCACTACAATCACATTACATGCACTATACACACTTTGCACTCACTACAATCACACTACATGCACTATACACACTACATCCACTACAAAAACACACTTTGCATTCACTATATACACTCTGCATCTAATGCATGCATACAAACATTACACAAAACGTACAATCTGCATCCACGACACACATACCGCATCCACTACACACATTCTACATCCACTACGCACACTGCATCCTTGACACACATTCTACATCCACAGCACACACACACAATTCATCCTTGAAGGCGTACTCGGGCTGGCCCCGGGGGCCCAGATCTTGAGCTGTGTCAGGGGCCCTAAAATTTCTGATGGCAGCCCTGTACACAAACACACACTGCTTCCACTACACATAAACACACTGCATCACCTACACGAACTGGTATCCCTATATACTACATTCCATAAGCACACACACATTAGATCCTCTACAATAACACATAACACATCCCCATACACACTCCACTGCCTGTGAGCAAACTCATGGGTGGAACATATAGGTGGACTTATGGGTGGGCCTTATGGGCATACTCACCATCAGGCCCTGGGGCCCAGACCTTGAGCTGTGTAAGGGGCGCCCAAAAAAATGGAGCTGCTTCCTGTTCTCCCAGAACATTGAATTTAGTGACCACAGTTACAAACAACCTCCAGAGATCCTGTTCTACACCAGACCAGTGGAGCCAAACTGCAGCCAGAGCCCATCACCATCCTCATCTAGTTGTAAGTAGGCAATCTAGTATTTTATTCGTGACACTAATCTCTAATTTACCTCACATTAAAGGGACACTATAGTCCCCAGAACCACTGCAGCTAAATTAAGTGGTTCTGGTGTCTATAGCCTGTTCCTGCAGGCTTTTTAATGTAAACACACACTGTGTGCAGCACTGGCATTAGTTCACATGGCAGATCATATGGGTGGGGCATTGTGATGTCACATGGGGGGGGCGGCAATTTTTTTTTTTTTTTGCCTAGGGCGGCAAAAATCCTTGCACTGGCCCTGTCTTCATTCAAATATGTGCCTTCTTCTTTTACCCACACATATCTTCGTTTATTTATAGGTGCACATAACAGATCCCTCTCTGGTTATAGTACACACTCTCATCAGCTCTTTTCAGGGTATGTTCGATTTATATACACTAAGCAATAATCCAGTACATCACTTGTCACAGGTTAATTGTTGATCTTTATTTCAGATAGGTGCCATTTCCAGCTACATCTTCCTTCCAGCTTTTCTTACTGTTTCTATTTTCAGACTATTTAGGTACATATGGTTACGTTTACGCTACTTCTTATAAGACAAGCCCCTGCTAAGGTTAAATACCTGGCGGCAAGGCTTAGGAGCTGGCCTTATTACTTTGCTTACTTTCATGTTCCCGTGAGGCCAACTCCCCACCTCTCGTGGAGGTATCGCCCACACGGCTTAACGTTGGATTAATTACCTCATATACACTTCTGCAGGTTTTTTTTAATGTGTCACATGCCACAGCCATACGCATTTTTCACTCTGTACTGTCATCGAGAGGCCACCTTTCTGCCACACCGATTTGTGGCCACATTTTCCCACGGGTCAAACCATAGGTAGCGCCTCTCTTCGCCACTTGGCAACTAACAGGGATTAACCTGTCACTGGGCAGTTACGTTCTTCGCCACCGGCACTAGTTAGCAAGCCAGTTCTATATACGAGATATCAACATTGGTTTTCAAAAATAGCATGTTATTACTAATTTCTTTATAGGATGTTGCAAGAATCAATCCAAGGAGACATGTCTCTCCAGGGCACTCCTTCCAGGCCCAGCACGCCTGTTAGACCAAGCTCACCCACTGAGTCTTTCATTCCAGCTACCCCTGGGTCCCTGAGATCATGGACCATACCTAAACTGGCAGCAGAACTATGCCGCAGGAATATTCCTTTCCCGGCCACAGTTAGGAAAGCGGAACTCTATAAGCTACTAGCGGTCCAGTCCAGTGATCGCAGGCCCGGCACAAGCTCTCAGGAGTCCCATGCCAGCGGTTTGGGACAAGTCTAAGACACCTTGTCATCTATCTTGTCTACCCTTCACTCACTTAATGAAAGGATGACCAAGATAGAAACCATCATCCCTACTGTTGTCAATGCAGCTGACGTTCCAGCCTCGCACCTGCACTACACACTGTCATGTTACATGATATTGTTTTATTATAATTTAATGTTCATCTTAAGTTTGTCCCTTGGGCCACTCCATAGTTTGCATGCTGCTCCAGGTACTCCCCTCCCCTTTTTTCTGTTCTAGTGCATTCTATGCTGTACATTCATATGTGACTTGTTTCTCTGCTATCCTGTATGGAAGAATTGTTCTTTTACCTGTCGTAACTGCACATTCTACAGATCATATGACGAATAAACACCGCCAGATCTTCTTACATGTGAGTTGTGACTGAGTAAACTATCTGGGAAGGTGATTTGGTATGAATAATCTCATCAGGGCAATGAGCGCCATGTGCTCCTGAAAAACACATTCATAGCCTCTGCAGCCGGTCCAGAATACACACAGGGTAGTGCCATTACTATTACTCCCTCCACTTCACACGTCATTACCCCCGCACAATCGGTTCCCGCTTCCATTAGGAAAGATATTCTAGATGCCAAGGATGTCAGCCTAGTCTCTCTCCTTATTGCTTCGCAGGACATTTTAGAAAATAGAGGTTTTAATTACGGATATATTTCTGTGATCCTCAAAACAAGGGATCCTCGTCTTAATAAAAAAACTCTCCATCCCCAAAATTATCCATGGCTTCGCATTATACAGAGATATCATCTGCTCCATATACCCTCAGAGGCGGGAGAAACTCAACCTCTATTTACACAAGGTGGTGGACCTAGGGCACAAGTATGGAGGTTTCGCTTTCTACGATTACCAAAAATCTGGATCATTTAAAGCAGAAGCAGCAGCTCTGGCCCAGTTTAACACTTGTATTGATTGGAGTCAGTTGGACACAGAGCTGTTCTGCAGGCATTTCGCCGGCTTGAGACCCCCATCTTGTGCTGTTTGTTCCTCTACCTCACATTCCTCCAACTTGTGTCCCTGCAAAACAGACCCCTCCACCTCCCACTTCGCCAAAGACATAAGCCAGGCAGACCAGTAGTATTCCTGGGCAAGGCACAAGTGTGCAACAACTTAAACGCTAGGACCTGTAATTACAGCGCTTGCAGGTTATTGCACATTTGCTCCATCTGCTTCAGGGCACACACAAAATCCACATGCCCCACTAGGCTTTTCCACAAGAAATGACTGATGGAAATCAACATCGGCACGTTTGCCTATCATCTGCGCACCCACCCCTTCCACCACCTGGTGCAATATTTGATTCTGGATTTTCCAGTGGGTTTCACACAGGGTCCCTACTGGCACACTAGAATGCTCTAATTTATACTTGGCTACAAACGACACATCTGTAGTTGAAGAATTGCTATGGAAAGAGACCATATCAGGTTTTATGATTGGTCCTTTTCCGCATCCTCCTTTGGCGGACAAACCCTATTGGGGTGGTAACCAATGGCACCTCTAATAAAAAAAGTTTGATCATCGATCTGTCCGTGCCTCATTCTTCTCACAATCCTAGTTTAAATTCACTGATACCTGCCGAATAAATTTTCTCTCCATTACGCCACAGTGGATCATGCCATAGAAGCTATTCTACTGGCCAGCGAACAAGCCTGGCTCAGTAAAACGGATATTACGAAGGCTTTCAAATGACTACCTATTCATCTGTCACTCTGGCGTATCCATGGCCTCAAATGGAGGGATAATTATTACTTCACCACCAGACTCACCTTTGGCTCCAGGAACAGCCCAAAACTGTTCAAGGCAGGTTCCCTCACACCACGTAGCATCCTTAGCACCACAGCACTGTTTTCAACATAAGGTGTCCCTTTGTCCCCTGACAAAATGTTAGGCGATGGGGCCTGGGTATCTCATTAGACTCGGTGTCAATGCAGGCACACCTCCTTGATGTGAAATTGGTACGCATCATACAAGAATAGGACCAATTCCTCCAAAAAGGTCTGGTATACAGAGGCATCTTCAGTCTTTACTGGGATACCTCAATTTCCACAGGGGAGATTGTAATGGAGCTCCCTGTACCTCCGCCAAGGACCGCTTCCTAGCTGGAACAAGGGACAAACCGCAGCACTTCTGCCCCCAGAGGCCGTGGCTTGCCTGGGGTCCTGGAACCGCTCCCTCCTGGAGCCTAATGGGGAACTCGCTCTATCCACCCCCAGGCACTGGACGATACTCAGTTCTGGGAGCTCTAGTCCTTACAAAGACTTTTCCTCCACACTGGAACAGTGATTATCTCTTTCCCCTCCCAGTAACCAGACGACACATAGTTCTGGGAGTACAAACTGGAATACGTTTATTGGCAGCCACAATCGGCCATTATATGCAGGTCCCCATGCAAGGGACACTCTCCTCTGGACCGGAGAGTAGATTACAGTAAAAACATACACACGATTACATTGGCTCTCAGGTCCAGGACACTCCCATACAAAACAAGATAATGCCTCCCCTGTGTCTGGGACATAATTGAGTCAAGCATTATATCAAACTCAATTATCTCCAGGCACAAAAAGCACACATTTCTCAAACACCTCAAAAATACATTAAACCCCTTAAAGGTTCCATCCCCTGATAGCCCTGATCTGGGTGACCAACATATCCAAAAATCAGCCAGATCGGTTCAGGGGTTCAGGGTTTTACTGGAAGTCATAATTTGACCAACCGCACGCATGGTCCTATGCCCCAAATAGTTCCATTGAATCGCGGCTAAGTGCCGCCGGGGACCGACTGGGAACTGCAAAGTCTTCATGCCGAAAATAGTTCCAGGGCATTTGTTGCTACGTCCCCCTGATGTCTATTCGCGGTTTTGGTCCGTTCGAATGGCTGCCAGGGAGCTAGAGTTCGGTTCTATGCGCAAAAATGGAAAGTGCCGAACCAGGGGCAATAAAAAGATGGGTCTTTACAGTCGCTGACCTGGCCCATAGTCGGTGGGCAGGAGGCCTGCTTCCAGACTCCTCCAGGAGTCCGTGGCGAACGTCTGTAGAAAGCGGCATTTGTCACAGAAATCTTTATCTCCAGGTTGCTCTGCCTCCTGCCCGGTGCGCCTGACGATGGCACCATAGTCCTCAATCTGCCAGCCGTGGCCGATTTGTGCATGTGGAAGCACTTCCTTGCAGAGTGGAATGGCATCTCCATGTTCATTCCCCCCTTATATCCGACTAGTCCCCCATAACTTGAACTGACGCGGCAGCCTCACAGGGTTCGCCGCATTTTTTGGTAACCACTGGTTTAGGGATGTTTGGCCTCAAGAAACACTTACCTTGCCAGCCTTCAGGGAAACTTCAGCCCTTTTTGAGATTTATCCCACCGTAGCAGCTGCACATACATGGGGTCATCAGTGGGCTGGTAAGGCAGTCAAGTGATAATTTGGCGGGTTGCGAGATCATCTATAAAGGGCGATATTCCTCTTTGACCATCATAAAAATTGGTACGAAAATTGACATGGCTTGCAGGCAAACTACAATTTTTCTTGGTGTGCAAACACATTCCGGGCATTCATAATACTGCAGCTGACGCTTTGTCCTGGTCTAATTTTCATGCATTTCA